TTATGTTATAATTTTATTTAAATGTTTCAAATGCATTGTTTGTAACGAATTATATACAGGGTGTTAGTAAATAAGTGCAACAAACTTCAGGGGGTGATTCAGCATAAAAAAATAATGACAGTTTGCTATATAAACGTATATCTGAAAATGCTTCGTTTTCCGAATACGGGGTGTTAAAGTTTTTCTTAAAAACTGACGATTTGTTTATTGCTCTGAAACCGGAAAAGATATGCAAATGAAATTTGGTGGATTTTAAGAGGTAGTTATTCCGCATTTTTTGACATGCAATTAATCATTTTATGTTCATCATTGGCGTGCATACGGGTAATGATCTCAATTCATTTAAAGAAAAAAATGGTACGCAACTGAGATATTTCAAATTAAAAATCATTTTTGAATTCCTTATTAAATTTGTCACAAAAAATATCTCTAGCCTTTTTTTCGTGTCGGGCGCCGTTTTTATGCAAAAAAAAATAAAATATCTTAACGCGTATTTTCCATTTCTTTAATACATTATTATCTAATAGCGACGCTAGTACTAGTAGGCTATTGTCAACATTCTGTTAAATACGAATAGTTTAACGAAATGTCAAATTAGCGTTTCTTCATTATTAAGCTTTTAGTTTGGTATAACATTGATGTTAATAAGGAATTAACTTTTCTTTTATCGAAAACAATGGAAAATTATACAAACGTGGAATTGTCAGACATGCATTTTGTCTATGGTCGAAGTAATGGAAATGGTCGGCAAGCTCGACGATTGTATGCTGAGTTGTATCCAGGACGTAGGGTACCCCATCACACAATATTTGCTCGCCTTCACCAACGTTTGCGCGTAAATGGTACATTTAAGAAACAAACGGCTGACTGCGGGCGCCTCGAGAAGTACGAACTGTGCAACTAGAAGAAGCAGTTCTCGAGTTAATTGCGGAGTCACCGGAAACAGGTAATCTAAAAATTGCCAACATATTAAATGTAAGCAACTTCTCTGTATTTAGAATTCTTAAAGAACAGCAGTTGTATCCGTTTCATATTCAACGTGTGCAAGCTCTACTACCTAGAGACTTTCTTCCGCGCCTATTTTTTGCCAATGGATTCTTGATCAAATCGCTCAAATTCCTAATTTTTTAAATAGAGTTTTGTTTACTGACGAAGCTAATTTTGGTCGAGAGTCTATACGAAATTTCCATAATAATCACTTATGGGCTGAGGAAAATCCACATGGAATCTTTGTAGCTCATTTTCAGCATCAGTTTTCGGTAAATGTATGGATTGGGGTAATTGATGATCATTTAATCGGTCCATATTTCCTCCCACAACGACTAACAGGCGACTCTTACCTTAATTTCCTACAGGAAGAGTTACCTGTTCTTCTTGAAGAAATTCCTGTACCGCTGAGACAACACTTATGGTCCATGCATGATGGTGCACCAGCCCATTTTAGCATTGATGTACAAAATCACTTAGATGCAGTATATGCAAATCATTGGATGGGTAGGGGAAGTACGGAACATTGGCCTGCTCGATCGCCGGTTTTAAATCCTCTGGATTTTTGCATTTGGGGTTTTCTTAAGTCACTAGTATATTCCACTCCCGTCGAAAATGTCGGAGACCTGAGGAACCGAATGATAGCCCGCTGTGAGACAATAAGAAATACACCAGGACAATTTGCGCGAATACGACAATCAATGCGGCGAAGAGTTGAATCTTGTCTCACGTCTGAGGGAGGTCATTTTCAGAATTTGTTGTAGCTTTGCGCCTGTTTAAAATTTTATTAGTGTTATTTTCTGTTATTGTTCTAGTTTAATGTTATTGTATTAGATAGTTCTTGATAATGTATTAAAGAAATTAAAAATACGCGTTAAGATATTTTATTTTTTTGCATAAAAACGGCGCCCCACACGAAAAAAAGGACAGAGATATTTTTTGTGACAAATTTAATGTGGAATTCAAAAATGATTTTTAATTTAAAATATCGCAGTGGCGTACCATTTTTTTCTTTAAATGAATTGAGATCATTACCCGTATGCACGCCAATGATAAACATAAAATTCTTAATTGCATGCCAAAAATGCGAAATAACTACCTCTTAAAATCCACCAAATTTCATTTGCATATCTTAACCGGTTTCAGAGCAATAAACAAATCGTCAGTTTTTATGAAAAACTTTAACACCCCGTTTTCGGAAAACGAAGCATTTTCAGACATAGGTTTATATAACAAACTGTCATTATTTTTTCATGCTGAATCACCCCCTGAAGTTTGTCGCACTTATTTACTAACACCCTGTATAAGTTTGTTTTTACTCTTACATTTTTGTCTTGTTTGTTTATAATTTTATATGACGTTTTCTATACCTATGTATACGTCTACAGAAATAAATAAAAATTAATATTATTATTGTTTCTTTGGTTTTTGTTCAACAATGGCATATAATGAATTTGTTAAACACTGGGGAGGAGAAATACATATTTATCCTATAATTTTTTTTTATTTTCTCTGGAAATTGCCAGGTTTCTTTATTTTGAGCAATTTATCTTGCAACATCAACATAATGTGATTTGGTTGAAAAGCTAGGTTATGCTCTAAAATAACTAATTAATACTATGTAATTCTAAAAGAGCCCTATCATTTATTAGATTAATTAAATTATAAGATTTATGTAGTAAAATTATATAAAATGTACCCAAAAGATTCTGGGATCAATTTAATTTAAAGTATAATCCTAAAATACTTTTTAAAACTAAGTTTTAAAACCTACCTAATATAATTGCTAAAAAGTATGCCTCTTTTACCAGGGGGGGCTCTAGGCATGTGCAAAGTGTGCAGTTGCACAGGGCGCCATGTTGTAGGGGCACCAAAAATTACATTTATCAATTTAAAATAAAATATTAGTTTTTTATTTGTCTAGTTGTTATAAGAACTTTTGGTTAAAGCAGACTTCTGTCAAAAGATGTTCTTTTATATTTGATCCGATGTTGAGGGCTATACCATTTAACTAAAAAAAAATACATATATTATACAAAATAAAACCAAAATGATTTAAAAGTTGCACAAAAACTTAATATTTCTGTAGAAAATATGCGTGGGTAGGGGTACGATAACGGCGCGAATATGAAAGGGGAACGGTGAGGCGTCCAAAGAAAAATTGGAGACATTAACCCTCGCGCTTTTTTGTTCCATGTGGTAGCCGTTCTTTAAATTTAGTAAATAATGACATGGCCATGTCCTCTTCAGCAGCTGCCAATTTCTTCAATACTGTACAAAAAATTTATTTATTTTTTTTCCGCGTCGACATTTAGATGGTCAATTTTACTTTAACATTTTGAGAGTATAACATTTAAACCACTTAGCGATACAAGGTGGGAAAACAGAATTGACGCCATAAAACCTTTGCGATACCAAATAGGTAAAATTTATGATGCTCTTTTTTTCTATATATACTCGTATAATGATCCAAATATTGAGCTGCAATCGGTGATGAAGCGTCTGGTTTAGTTACGCAACTTAAACAGTTCAAACTTCTGTGTTTTTTGTTATTTGGTATACTCTTTTAAACAATGTCAATCCTGTAAGTAAACTTATGCAGACAGAAGACTATGATATTCCTTCTTCCACTGATGCTTTAAAGAATTTGCAGATTTTTTTTCACAATTTAAGAGAAAATGAAATTGAACAACTGCTCGTGGATGGGGGGAACTGGCAGAAGAAATTGATGTAGAAAAATCTTTTGAAGCAACAGCTAGGTATAGAATCCGTCGTGAAAAAAGAAACTTTGATTATGAAAAGGAAGATAAACCTATCATAGATCAAGAAGAAAAGTATAAAATACACAAAATTGAATTTTATTATATTGTTTTAGATACAGCCCTAAATGCTTTGAAGCAAAGATGTTACGCTCTAGAAGATCACTCGAAAAATTTTAAATTTTTTTTATGACATTTACAACTTAAAGCAAGTACCCAAAAGCCAGATAATAGCATACTGCAAAAAACTTGAGAACGTCTTAACTGACCAAGATAATAGTGATATAAATGGCTTAGATCTCGCTGACGAAATGGTCATTGTATCTTCTCTTTTAACCAAAAAATAGAACTCCTAAAGAAGTACTACAATTTATAACAAAATTGAATTTTGCTCCCAATTTAAGTATAGCCGTCCAGATTCTTTTAACGCTTCCAGTAACTGTCGCTACAGGATAAAGGAGTTTCCAAAATTAAAACGGATCAAGACTTACCTACGTACCACAATCACACAAAATCGACTTTGTTGTCTTGCTATTATTGCAATAGAAAACGAGATATGTAAGAAAACCGATATTACAGAAATCTTAAAGTATAGGTATTCGTTTGTTAATTGAAAATAAGTTTATGTTAAAAAAAAATAAGTTTTTTTGTGGTTTCTTTTAGTATATCTATTTTTTAGACCTATATAAAAAAATTGTAGTAGTCAAGCTAGATAGGGGATAGGCGCCAACTCAGGATTTTGCACACAGTGGACGAAATTCTAGAGCCGACCCTGCTTTAACACTAAACACACGTTAGGAGTATCTTTAAACTAAATATTTTTAAAATTACTTATTAACTAACCCTTACAGGACAACGATAAAGCGTAATTTACTTTAGGATAATCTGGGTTTCTTAAATAGATTTAAAGGATTCTAGAGAACCAAGCAATAAGATCAATTTATCCTGCATATTAGCAAAAAAAAATTTATGCCTTTACAAAATATTAATAAAACAAATAAAACTTGATTCTTCTAAAAATGTAATTTGGAATATTTTGAACAATACAAAGTTTTGGGGATGTATTGGGAAAAAATACAAAAATATTATTTCTTCTAATATTTTTTCTTGATCTATACAAGAAAAGTAAGATATGTGCTTGCTTGGGTTTTTTATGGATTATTAAAATATTGAGAAGGGGGACAAGAACAATTAATAAGATAGATTTCTTGAAAACTTTATTTATTTCCAATAAAAAATTTAAATTATTTTTAGAACCATTGAATTCATGTTGTTTATTAAGTAAAGTTTTTCCTTCTACTGTAACTCGTAGATTTTCATGCAATGATTTGTAAGTTCTCTAGTGATTGCAAGTTTAACATTTATAATTATAAAATTACAATTACGTTGATACTAATGACCTTAGTTGCAACATTTTTAATACGTAAACGTAACTACTCTAAAATTATGTACTAAACTCTAAAAATTTAAATTTTATGTGCACAAACCTATAAATAGGATCGGACAAGTTTCTAGTAAGAGGCTGATTTTAAATGAAATACCTAAATTAAATTATTTTTCAATTACCGAAGGTAACGTTTATTTATCAAAAAATTTTAATAAAAAAACAAATCATTGTTGTATAATGAAAAAAACTAAAGAAAATTTACTAGTTTTATTAAGATGTATGCCGAAAATTCACTAATGAATATAGTTGAAAAAGTTATTTAGATTAATCAGAAATCACCTAGAATTTTCACTTATAATATCCCTAGTGCTAAAATTATTTCCGGAAATTTTTTTCAAGGTCACGAATGTTTTTGTTATGATAATTCTCCCGAGTCGAAGACGAGGGAGAATTATCTTATAACAAAAACATGAGTGAAACCGAGAAAAAAAATTTCCTGAAATTAGGTTTAGCACGTGGGGTATTCGGTAATAAAATTTTATGACAAAACCATCCAAATTCTAAAAAGGTACCTCTTTGACAGGAAAATTAAATTCATGCCAGTTAAACACATTCTTTTTTATTAGAGGTATCATAGTAGGTTTATGTCTGACCAATTTTAAACCAGGTGTGTAGTCGTGTTTTGTATCTGTCACGGATAAAAAAAATGTCGCGTTTTGGGACACAAAGTGAAAAAAAAATAAGAAAAGAGGTAGATACATTAATTCCACCTAATACAAAGAAATCGAAGGCAACAATATGGAAACAATTTTTAGAATTTTGTGAAGAAAAGAATTACAGAATTGCAGCAGGTACCTCCGTCGAGAAATTTTAGAAGATTGGGGATTTAATATGAAGAAGAAGAAGAAGAACACAGAAAAATCTGTTGTGAAGGTAAAAGATCACTATGATATGAAGTACTTTTTAAAGTTTTTTTATATTAGTATGATTAATACAATGTTTGATATTGTTTTAGGTTATGTGGAATTCAACAGCAAAGCAACTACAAGAAATGTGTTTTTTAAAATTTAAGATCAAGTTTACTCCATTTTCCGATGTCGAATTTGTATCAGCAAGAGCTACGCGGGATGTTAATCGCCGGCGTTTACAAAGAGATCCAACAAAACGAAAATCAAGTGCAGCTGCACTTACAAATGATGAATATACAAAAATTATTCAAATATGGAATGAAAATGAACCTGTGGGTCTGCAGCGCAAATTTTTTCATATTATTTCACGTGAACTAGCCTGGAGAGGTGGTGAAGGGGTTACAGCAAAGGTAGACTATTTTGTTAAGGAATTAGACCATGAAGGAAATTTTACCGGAAGAATTGAATATAATCCAGTTTTTACAAAAACTACTCAAGGTGGATCAAAAAAGCTAGCTGATAGTAAGTGGCTAATAAGAAACCATAGTAATATTAACGAGTGTCCGATACGATTATTTGAAAAATATATGGAAAGGCGTGGGGATCTAACGATTGATAGATTATTCGTAACCCCTAATCCTAATTGGAATACAAAGTTTTTAAATAAATGGTACAAAAATAGTGCTGTTGGTAAAAACACAATATCTTCGTGGTTAAAGGAATCCGCTTCTCAAATCGGCATTGATATAAAAAAAGTTAAAGTCACAAATCATTAAGCAAGGGCTACGGCAGTATCAAGCTTGGCAAAAAATGGTGTACAGGAACAACAGCTTATTAAGGTTAGATTAGATTAGGAGTTGGACGTTATTTGTCCTTGTCCACCGCGACCTTTTCAGATCTATTGTGGGACTCCGTTTGTTTTAGAGTATGTCGTCTAGCCTGGTCTTTTTTATTAGACTTAGTAGCTTTGACAGTGGCTCCCGCATGTAGTTGCATGCAATTGGCTTTTCTTCGCCCAATGTTAGAAACCTCATTCCAGCCAAGCCTTCACATTGGCACAGGACGTGGAATGATGTTTCCTCTTCTTCTTCCTTATTAAGGTTACCGGACACAGTAATCCACAGTCCATAAAACTGTATCTTCAATTGGATGTTAAGCATCATCAAAACATAATTCAAGCCATGAGAAGTGAACATTTAGAGGAACACAACCATCAAAATACGTCAATAATAAAGTCTAACATTCAGCACAGCCAACAAACATCAATACAACCTAGTAGTATTGTTTACAATAACTGTGTATTTAATATAAATAATTATAATAGGGAAAATCAAAGTTGAAATATTAAACCAAACCATGATTTTTGTAAGTTTATTGTTCCTTATTTGTGTTGGTAAATAAAGTAGGTAAAAATAATAATATGTCATTTGTTTTTACTTTTTGCTTCTGTAATAGAGTTAAGTTCGATGATGTTCAAAAAAGTGGATAGGAAATTTGTGAAACTATGCTATTTGAAAAATATATGGAAAGGCGTGGGGATCTAACGATTGATAGATTATTCGTAACCCCTAATCCTAACTGGAATACACAGTTTTTAAATAAATGGTACAAAAATAGTGGTGTTGGTAAAAACACAATATCTTCGTGGTTAAAGGAATCCGCTTCTCAAATCGGCATTGATATAAAAAAAGTTAAAGTCACAAATCATTCAGCAAGGTCTACGGCAGTATCAAGCTTGGCAAAAAATGGTGTACAGGAACAACAGCTTATTAAGGTTACCAGATACAGTAATCCACAGTCCATAAAACTGTATCTTCAATTGGATGTTAAGCATCATCAAAACATAATTCAAGCCATAAGAAGTGAACATTTAGAGGAAAACAACCATCAAAATACGTCAATAATAAAGTCTAACATTCAGCACAGCCAAAAAACATCAATACAAGCTAGTAGTATTGTTTACAATAACTGTGTATTTAATATAAATAATTATAATAATGAAAATCAAAGTTGAACTATCAAACCAAACCATGATTTTTGTAAGTTTATTGTTCCTTATTTGTGTTGGTAAATAAAGTAGGTAAAAATAATAATATGTCATTTGTTTTTACTTTTTGCTTCTGTAATAGAGTTAAGTTCGATGATGTTCAAAAAAGTGGATAGGAAATTTGTGAAACTGTGCCATATTTTCTGATCATTACAGTAGTAAAAAGAAACTCTATTTTTATCGGAAGCTAATAAGTTCATATAGGTGGCATTCATTAGTCGCGGTTTTCATATTAAATAAATTTTAGTTTCCCTATGCTCTAGTAAAATGTGGTTAATTTACTTGAAAAGGCTATATATTATTCTAGCAATATTACACAATTATATAGCACTAGAGAAAAGGGAAAAAATTATGTCTACTGTTGAACATGGATGCTAATTAATTTTATCGGTGGCGCGACGCCGGCGCTGCTTAGTTATTTATTAATCGCAGATTTGATGTCAAACATTTTAATATTCCTATGCTCTAGTAAGATGTGGTTTATATACCTGAATAAGTTAGATTATATTTTATCAATATCACACACTTATATAGTACTAGAGAAAAGCGAAAAATTGTGGGCTTACTTTTATTGACATAAATCATACACGCAATTTTAATTGCATTATTTTTACTTTACCTGTGCTCTAGTAAAGCAAGCCTTTAATAATAGTTTGAATAAACATTATTCTTTATATTTTCAATAATTTTATACCACTAGAAAAAAGAGAAAATTAATAATTAAAAAAATGAATCTAATGCCTTTAAGATAAATGATATTTTTACCTAACATATTTATTTAAGAATTAAATCGCAGATTTGATGTCACATATTTTAATATCCCTATGCTCCAGTAAGTTGTGGTATATATACCTAAATAAGGTAGATAATATTTCGTCAATATCACACAATTACAAAGTACTAGAGAAAAGGGAAAATTTGTGGGCCTATATCTATCGAGATACAATATTTTGATGAATCCGAAACACACTTTTAATTGCATTTTTTTTTACATTCCCCAGCTGTGCTCTAGTAAAGCAAGCCTTCAATACAAGTTATAAATAAACATTATTCTTTATATATTCTATAATTTTAATCCACTAGAACAAAGGCAAAAGTAATAATAATAATGCCTTCAAAATAAATGATAATTTTACTTATCAGGACCCAATTAAAGTTGGCTGTGGAATGACAAATTCTAGTTGTATTTTTGACGTTTGGTTATCCTAAAAATTTGTAAAAGAGAACGAAGTGTAAAAAATATTTATAATATTTTAATAGTAAAATGAGTTGCAATAAATACAAAATTTGTTCGTTTTGCATAGAATCTGACCACATTAAAGTTTTTCATAAAAATTTAAAATTTCTAGCGTATTTGGTCAACAATTCTGGTCTCAATGCTGAACAAGAAGATCTATTCAAGGAAATGAGCAATGTTCTTCGTGAAATAATACCATATATCAATCATAAATCCAGCATGGAAAAAAACAAAATTGTATCGAAATACTACTTTTATTTTATGAAACACAGGCATTTAGTCAAAAAATCCAATAGTTCCTTGCTTTACTCGCCATTGCCCAAGAAAGAAGTGGAAAAAGAATTTCGTACTTATTTAGGAATTATTAACGATATTGTTAAAAATAAAACATTATAGCCTGTATTTAAACATATGTATAATGATATATTGATGTTAAAATAAATAGTAATTCGAAATTATTCTACCCTACTGATTTTTATATTTATGTTAAAATAAATAGTAATTCGAAATTATTCTACCCTACTGATTTTTATGACAGCTGTCAAGGCAGGTAAATTTTCACTTATTAATCTTACAGCTAGGTAGGGCAATTTCCGAATAAATACGAAGGTTGTCATGTCAACCTTCTGAAATGATTGCATTTTATTGGCTGAAAATTGTTGTCATAAAATTTTCAGTATTAATTTATTATATTAAATGAACCGGCAGTTTCAAGTCATGTTCTAAATGAATGAAACACAGCAACTGTAGG